CGTAGTATTTATATATCTAAAGTCTACTTAGCTTGCATTATGAAATGCACTTATGCTATTGATATTTCTAAATATAATTTTATTGTTTTCATTAATAGTTATATATTATATAAATCAATTTTCTAGACGTATAATCAAAGGAAAACTAGTGTCTATTTATCAATAATTTATCGATTGAACTTTTAGGCCTTATCACGTAAAAAGCTTTGAATAAAAGGCTCCATATTGATTTATAAATGATTAAAATTCAGAATTACTTTTATAAGGTAATCAATGTATCCGTAAAAAGATTCATTGATTACCTTGAAACTATAGATATTTAACGTTAAACTTTATTATAGAGTCAACGTTTTTGTAAAAAAGTATTAACAAAATTAAAATCGTTACTCGTTCAGAACTAATTCACGGTAATCATATCCTTAGAAGCTTGAATTATCCTAAGTCTAATGATAGCATATACAAATGTAGTGTCTGCAAAATTAATTACTGTTGTTACATTCTTGTTTACTTCACAGTTAATCAATTAGTCACAAGTCTCAAAAGTTTTATTTTTGAAATCTCAAATTATTTCTCTATAATTACAATGTTATAATTTTTATGAGGCCTAATATTTACTAACGTTATTTCTTCTAATAAATGTTTATTTCCTGCTTAAAGTATTAGTTAAGTATTATTTTCAATGATGTAACCTACATACTTTTATCAAGCCATTATACGATCTCTCCAGCTGAATTTATTTTAAAAATGCTTCCTCCGCAATAAAATCAGCCTAGCCTAAATTTAAATAGGAACTAATTTGCAAATTATATAAATTAAATCTGGATATCGAATTAAATTTGATTAGAAATAAATCAAAATTTAATGGTTAATAGGTCTACGTCAATAGACTTTGATTCTATTAAAATCGTATATTTATTCATCAAATTTACATATAAAAGTATGCAATATCAAAATAACTGGATATGTTTTAGTAAATAAATTGTATTATTAATCAAAATGTAGTTGACTTCTCTAAAATTGCAGAAATTTCATGCTGGAACTAATATTTATGGTATAAAAGCCCTATTTAGCCTATTTGATCTGAATTTATCGCAACCTTACATTAAATGAAGGTAAAATACTTAATAAAAACATATATTAAAATAAACAATTTATTTAAATTATGTAAATAAATAAATTTGTACTTAAAAATTAAGAATTATTCTCCAAGAAAAAATATTTTGCTACGATACAGCAATAAAAGATTATGCGCATTTAATTTATATATCTAGATGGTTTTTTTTGTTCAAAATTGATCACCCTAACAAGATACTTGATGTATTATCCGTTAAACGAGCAAATAATATTAAAATTTGCTAATTGCAGATATAGTCGTTCATCATATGCGTCGGATATAGTGAGCTACTGGCGCTGAACAGATGGTTACCGGCCGCCCGCTGTGTGCGCTAGAGGTGGCTGCATACAACTCAATAGTTACGCTCAGGGAGAGTCACAGAACATGCAAGATCGATGACAACACTTGCTGTAACAAAATCACACGCTTAATATCGTAACACTTAATATTTACCTATCATTGCAATAGGCAAAATGTAATTTAATGGTGTTTTATGGAAGACGGTTTTTTCGTCTTGTGGTATTTAGGCCTTGATATCTACTAGGTGTTGTCGTTTTAAGCGTTAACCGCTGGACTAACTTACTACTTTTATTTTATAGACTGTTAAGAGGAAAATGTTATCTGCACCAACCTATTACTCAATACGTCTAACTTAACGGTTTATGATAACAGTAGTAGGAGTTTTGGAAGGAAGATTATTTTCAGATTCGAGTTAAGATTTCCAACACGTTATTTTTGAGTTCGAAATATTGCAAAACTTTAATATCGAAAATATAATTATGTTTTGAACTTTCTTATAACGGTGTTCTTTCCGATATAAAAAAAAAATTACTCCGACAAATCCAAAGATGAAAAATTTCGAAAGACTGCATAACTTTTAACTACTCGGAATATGTGCTTTGTAAGTTTTAATTATTTTTATTTAGAACTATATTAATAAATTATAACTTTGTGATTTAATTATTTAAGATATTTGTTAATTTTAATCAATAAAACAATTTATATTGAGAAATTTGGAGTCGGCGCAAGTTAAATTATGTTTATGGATCTCTAATACTCTAATACTTCTATCTAATGTAGGTCTGTCTGTATTTAATCTCGTATATATCGAGAAATCTTCTATGTATTTAATCTACTTACTGTTTAAATAAACTAGGCGTATTAAATCATTGTACTTAACGCTAAATAATTAATTATAAGCCTCATTTGAAATAGAAGCAATAACTGTAGATATTTTGTTGAAAACTACTAAAGAATAACTTATAACGAAATTTAATTGTAAATTTATTTAGCGTTTATAGCTAGAATCTTTCTAATTATAAAGCCATTACTAAAATCTATTTTCTCTCACACTGTAGGCCTAATGATTTAAGAGGTCCTACGGAAATGAGGCAGACTTTAATCTGCCGATGTATAATCTTTAAGTCTTTCAGACTACTATACTAGACATTTTACAATATTTAACCGATAAATCAATATTAATATTTTATTATTAATGCTCTTTTCCATATATTTCTTAGATTTTTTAGTCTTTTCATTACAATATGATAGCTACTATATTTCTCTTCGAATTTTTGTTTTCGATATAGAAAAATGCTTTTTATACCTATTTAAGTGCATTATTTTCTAAATTATTTATTATATAAAATGATTAATATTTTATAAATTTCTTTTGATATTTTAAATAGTTTACTAAATAAAGATTCTATTAAAATATCATTCCAAAGTTTAGTATTTTTAATAGTTTATGCAGTCTTATATAAGCTATGTTTATATATTGCATATGCCTATACTTGTAATAAATCATGTGGCATATTTCGACAACTGGCATAACCTATTTTATATTTTTTCAGGCATCACTTCATACTAATGATAGTAATTTTTAGGAAATATGAATCCCGAAATATTCAAAAATGTTACCGATATAGATTCTTCTCAAGATCTATTAATATAAAAAATCGAGAAGACAATTCCGTACGAAAAAAATGAAATTAAATCGGGTCAAAATCTTCTTCACGTTTTCTTCTTTTCTCTTCCTTTTTTGCAGTCATGTGTTAAATTTGTTCTAATATCAAAGACCCAGTTTATATCATTATACTGGTCTTTAATATCTTCCTCTATTTAGATTCACAACTTGAAGAGATTTATTTTTCCTACATAATGTTATTCTTACACATATTTTTTAAAAAATTCATTAGTTTCTTACCGTTACGACTCTTAATTTTCGACAAATGAGCTATTACACTTTTATTAAATAACATTAATGATTAAATTATGCATTATAATAATCGGTTATAATGCAAATTATTAGCTAATTTAAATTGGTAGGATTGAATAATAACAAAAACAACTTTTTGATAACAATTGATATATAGGCTTACGATATTGTTTTGATACAATAATGGTCTATTTTTTTGTAATTTCGTACTTAATCTTGACATAGTTCCAAGTCAATACAGCCGTAATGATAATGTTTTGCCCTAAAGGCTCGATTTTAATTATTTAAGATATTTATCTTTATAGTTTTTTTTTAAGTATTCAAATTAGCATCTGTTATATAAATAGTCTAAGCTTATTCTATTAAAATAAAGATAAATTTTGATTTTGAACTTTTTAGAAAATATTAAACGGGTCAAAGTCATTTTACAAAGTCTATTATTGATCAATGATTCTTATTAATAGTAGCTTTGCATTTTCTGTTCTTTCGCAATTTTACGTCTTAGACTATACACTTAATATTCAAAATAAGTGCTTAAATAAAATTTGAACGACAATTTTGAATACTCAAATTTAATAATAAACAATTAAAACGTTTAGCAATGCACTACGTGAAGAAAAAATATTTGAATTCACGTATATACTTCATAAGCGATCGGTGGAAAATGGCTCTCAGACAGTTGAACGGAAACTTTTTATATTGTGTTTCGGATTGTTTCCTGCGACTCGAAAAAAAGAGATAATCTTCATCTTGTCACACGAGAGGAACATTCTAAGAATGACATTGCTGGAATTGGCAGGTTTAGTGGTATTGGGTTTGTTGGTGACAGTTAAAGTCCATTGCTGTCAGGGACTTCGTGCTGACTATGCAGAACTAGCACGATAAATTATAGACATGTTGTCGGAAATGTTGCCATTCCACCTGAAGTTGGAATGCGATTTCTCTTGTATTTTAAGAATATTTATCGAGATAGTCACTGGATGCAAAGTTAGTATTATCAGAAATCTGTAATGCAATTGAGCATATGGAATAGAATTTTGTCTTATAGTTTCGAATTCTTCGTGTAGAAAATATTTTTGCATTCACTGAAATTAAAAGGCAATAAACGTGCAATATTTCACTTCTTGGACTAAATTCGTCTGTAAAAGTAAATATTCTTTTCTGAATAAATTACGGTTATTTATATTTAACAAACAAGTCTAACATATCCAATTTATCCAACGAAACATTCAACATATTTTGTATGTGTTTATTAACAATATTAAAGTTAGCATATGAGCTCTATTTATACCAATATTTCTGTAAAGTAGTATATCAACAGCGACATAAAGATTGATATTACTGTATTCAAAGATTTCATACAACTATAAATTAGACAATTTTTGGATAACCATTGAACTTGTATAAATTCAAATAAATATTCTCACTAATCAAAGGAAATATGTAGCGTATACTTTGAGTATTTTTAAAACAGCTATAAGATATATTAGGCCTAGGCCTATATAGTCCAAAACTGCATTTACGATTATCAAATTACTATAATTAAGGATACATTAATATTGTTTGCTTTATTGGAGTTTTCCATTATTTGTTATTAACCTTTATGTATTCAATGTAGATATTTAATTATATTAACAAATTAAGAATTAAATCATTTTCTTTTTTTAGCACGAATGTCTACGAGTCAAATGTGCAGACCTCATTTCCACTCTCCGCTTCATCCATGGATCTCGGACGCGAAACCAATGGTTCCTCATCCCGCACATGGAACTCCCTGGTGTTCACCTTTCACTAGTAAACCTCCACATCATCCGAGTCCTACAGGTGGTCACTTGGGTGTCCATCCAGCTCCACCACAAGTTCCCAGCTCTATCGCCAGTTCACTGCCTTCTCATTCCAGTCCTCATCTGTTCAGTTTTCCTCCCACACCACCTAAAGACGCCACGCCCGATAATGTTACCAACGGTGGAAGTTCAGCCGATTACGGTCCCAGTTCGGGGTCTCTGGTGTCCGTCGGAGACGACAAAGGTCCAACAGCCAGCATGATAACAACTCTCGGATCGGCCCTTACTAACTGCTCCAGTAACAAACCTCGTGAAGGTAGTAATGCCTTTGCATCTTCCCTTAGCCCTGTGCACCATCAGACAGCCCATCCCATGCCACCCTATCATCCCCCTTACGTAACGGGCCCTCCTGCAGGTGGACCACCAAGCTCGGCCGATCTTTCAGCATCACCCTACTCTTTCCATTCGGCATCGTCTCTTCTAAGTGCAAAGAATTCTCTACAGTGTTCGTCGACATCACCAGGGAAGCAGAGAACCAAAGGGAGGTCCAGCGCCGGTAAGAAAGAAGAATGGAACGGAAAATTCATCGAAAAGTCTAACACTACTAATCCAGACCAAGCCAATTTATATCTTTCATCTGCTGAATTGTTCCCATCTTCTTCATTTAATTCTTCTCACGAAACAGTTGGTAATATTTAACATCGGCATAGGGCCCATTACCCCAAACCTAAGTCCCTTTCTTCTCCTCTCTCTTCCTAATTTTTCTCTTCATTTATTAATCATTAAATTATCTAATTACATATCTAATTCAAATATCAAGCAGATATTTAGTTATTATTAAATAATAAAACAAGAATTTTAAAAGTTTTTATACATTTACAATTGTTTAATGTAATCAATTATTGCATAATCAAAACTCCTACAAATATTATGTAGGCTAAGGCGTATTAAATAATAAAAAATATCATTTAATTATTTAAGATATTTGTTAATTTTAATCAANTATTAATGAGAAAATTTAAAATGAAAAGTAGAATAAGAAATGAAGTTTAATCCATTCGGGCTAAACGTTCGTTGTGTACGTGGCTGCGTGTTTACTAAAGTCCGATCGCATCTTAAGCATCCAGCTGCTACTCTCGCCTCTGTTAGTTTTAACTGACAAAAGAAGACAGCTAGAAAGAACTGATGAATTAGGGGCGGAGATCTTCTGGTGTCGGTCACGGCAGCAAACTCCGCCTCTAGATCCAGTCCGCAGATGGAAGCGATAAAGCACTGTGACTGGGAACACCGACCCCGGCATGTCTAGTACAGACTCTGCCGTTGCATCGACTGCAACCGTCATCGAAACGAGCAGTGCGTCGAATCGAACACAACGTGGCTAGACCAATAGCGCCATACTAGCGTGACGTCACGCGGAAAGGACGTTTTCTATTGGAGATTGGTCGGGAGGGCTGGTACGGCAGTCTTTGTTCTGATGGACAGCGGAACGTGGTGAGCAGTTAAGGTGTAGGAACTGCTGGGATGAATATCTATCCCATTGGGGTCTGTCTGTTTCGGACTGTCGTGTTATTTTTCAGTCTAGACTTCTAGAAGTGTCGTGACTTCACTTTATTAACTTTGTTTTGGAAGTGTCTTGTTGAGATGAGGGAACTCAATCCGCCGGGGGCATGTGCACAATATATGATTTCGAAGCGAATGATCGATCGCTAGCATTCGATAAACAACGGTAAGATATGCATTTGGTTAATTTTTAATGCAAATGAATTTCTCGCTTTAAGATTAAATGCTAATGAAGATGATTCTATTGTTTTGTTGCGTTGCCACTAGAGTTCGGTAGAATTTCGAATTAAGTTTCTATTATTTTTATATGGTGTAAATTGATTAATTCATTTTAAAGTTGTTGGAACTTTTCTTTCTAGTGCAAGACTGAGCAAACGATTGACTCCTAGACCGGAAAAATTGGACGATAGCCGAAGAGCCGACGTTGAAACTCGGCACAAGTTTTAGTCCTCTCCTTCAGCCGTCTTTGCCCGGCAGGATATCGTAGTCTCTCCACAGCCGATACTTTACCGATTGTGCATGTGGTTAGTGAACTGAGTTACGTCCAAGAGTGAGTGTATCGAGGAACTGGTAGACAGGGACTATGGATGTACACGTAACCACATCGGATCAAGGTCAGGGATCAGGTGGACATCCCGCTCATCGCTGGCCTTACGATGCTCCCCGAATGGGTTCTGGACTAGAAAGTTCTGGTAATCTTCTAGCACCGGACGATGTCGACGTATTTTTCCATTCTTTGGATAGTAATGGAAATCCAGTCAATCCAGCTACTTACTATGCCAGCCCAGCTGCAGCGAGAGCAATGCATAACTACAGAACTCCTCACGGTAAGTTCTTTTTAGTAGTTTTCGGTTTAGGTTTGCGTTTAGGATTGAAAATAGCCAAACACGCAAAATCGACAATAAACTTAAGTGTTTCTAGGCTTCAATCTCGGACAAATCTTTTTCCTTACACATTTTGACAGCCGAAACAATAACTTTAAAAGGCAATCTATACTTGCTGTGACATTTGCTGTTATACCGCGATTGAACAAGGAAAACAATAACAATATAGATTAAATTATTGAAAGAAGAGGATTGACACGCATCAAATTTTCTTTAATATATATGTTATAGAACTTATAAACCTGAAAAGTCGGGAAAATTCGCCAGAAAAATTTAATATCGCAAAATGTCGCGCTTCTTTAGCACTGACTTCCTATTTAGAAACATGGACTAATAATCTTTATCGTCAATTATGTCAAAAATCTTTTGTTTCAGTCTACCAATAAAATAATATTGAATCTGAGTATAATATTTCCCGCAAGACTTTAAAAGTGATAGTTGACCCTGATACAGCGGTGAATGTTTAACGAAGTTCGTCAGGGTCGAAGAGGACGGATACAGGATTTCTTTTCACTATAATCACTTTAATTTTTCACGAAATTATTCTAGTTTTAAAAATATTATCTCATAATAAAAGCTTATTTTTGTTTTTATTTTAAATTATTCTTTTACGCAATAATTGCTTTAAAACCCTACGTAAATATAAAGCTCGAATAAGTTACAAAAATTTATGTTTAATAGTCTAATAGTCATTGTTGTTTATAAACAATATTAAAAATTAAAATTTACATATTAGGCCTACATAAAATGTAAGCAAAATGGAATAAACTAATTTAATGATTACATTAATGCATATATAAATTTAACACGCCGCATATCATTAATAGATTTATAAACCTTATTTAAATTAAGTTCCTTAAAATCAAAGCCTAGCATTTCAATGCCGTTAGATCTTTCTATTATTCTGAAATATTTTTTTTTTTTTACAAATAAACTACTTTTGAAAGGCCTATGTACCAAAATTGGGCCGATAAAGAATGAATGTTTTGAACAAAGCTGAAGTGTATCGCGATTAGTGAACGAGATACAATTGAAAGTGAAACGAACGAAAACACAGTCCGATAGACAGCAATTTTATAGATTTATCATCAATAATACTATGATGTGATTCCGACAATCGGAATCAAATATAAGCTATGAAGAGTTACAAAGCACATTGCACGAATTGCGTGTATAACACCCGTTTAGATGCCAAATTATGAGTACATAAACGCGAAAAAAGCATAAAACGCGTGACAATTATTATATTTGAATGAATAATTTAACAGCTAAAAAGTCAGCGACCAACAATGACAAATGCATCTTTTAATAGCAGATGATTAATCAAATGATAATCGAGAAGACCATTTCAGAAATGCTAATTTTACAACCGACGAAAGATTAATGTCAACCTCGTTTGGGTTTTCGTATTAAAGCCCATCTTCATCCAAGTTCATTAAATTAGAAGAAAAAATGAAAATTCTCTTTTAAATTAAAGATCCCCTTTAAATGCAACCCGTAGGAGGAAAAATGGACCCAAGGGATCAACAGAACATTAAGTTAAACGATATGAGCCTATCGTGCCTCTCTACCGGATTTTGGCTCCGAGTATATTAAACAGATTATAGTGCATTGTATCTAGTTAAATAGGAACCATATTTCGAAGAATAATAAAGCCTGGTATTATATTTTATAAAAATTGCAGTGTGGAAACAAAACGTATCGTCACGATTGAGACATTGAGTTGGGAAACTAAATCAAAATTAAAATATATTATTAAAACGGAAAAGAAAGAACAATACTCACAAAAACCTTCGTTTTCTCTTGAACATTACTTTCAAAATAAAAGGATTGCGTATATCAATCGAGACTTAAAACGTTTTTAATTTAGTGTTTATATCAGTGATTGAACACTTCTAACGCTCTTAAATACTTAACTATAGGCTTTTTTATATATAGAGGAAGTGATAGGCCCCCGAGCTGTAGTAAAAACTAAACTTAATCTATAGTTAAACACAATAAAAATGCGCAGTTTGGAGTGATAGGTGATTAAGAGTAAACTAGGTGTAAGTCCTCGGACGGTAGATAAGTAACATAAAAAAGCAGTGATAAAACAGACCTTGTAAATTGTATTTGATTTCCGATATCAGTTCTTCAGCGTCCATAGCCGTCTGATGAAACAAACCAGTATTAATTACGTAACACTTCGATGGCAACTGGTTTATTTCCGAACTGCCATTTCTCGTTAGGATAAAGGAAAAATGTTGTAAAACAGTTCCATTGTCTTTACTGAACACAGAAAAAACTGTTCGGGGAGTTCTCGTACGTTCAGTTAATAAGGAGACAAATCTTTTCACAATGTCACGTTGACTATTGGCTTGCGATTTTAAATAACACCACTTTTTTTCCTAGACAAAAATATATTTATTTGTAATCTCTTCCATTAAAACCTTATTAAAATTTAAAAGCGAAATTATGGAAATTCGTTCGAAACTATGTCCAATATTAATCCTCTTTCTTTCAACTGAATCCGGTTTGATAGTACCACGTTTTGTAAACGTTGTCACGGATCATAGAGAAGCATTTGGATGTCAAAAGTGTCAAAACTATCAAAATGAGAGAGGTTTGCCCATAAAGACGTTTTGGAGTTTGCGCGTTACGCATGGTAAGTTTAACATCCGTAAGAGAACGAAAAGAATAATTGTCGACTTTATGACAATTTACGACTTTTAACTTTTTTTTTATATAGCCTATCTTTTGCATTCGGTTTTTAAATTGTTTATTAAACGAGTCGACCATCGCTTTCAATACTAAACATCGAAATAATTTTTGCAAATCAAAATATAAAAATTCTTTCTTTGTAATGATTATTTAATCCTAAATAAAGAAAAAAAAACTGTTTTCGATTTTTATTATTTTGAAATGGAAATGACTAAGTTGAAATGATATGACAAAGCAACATTCCTAATGTTGTTCTGAATAAGCTAGTCGCAGTTATGTGCAGCCATTATACTAAAATCTGTATTTTATTTAAGTTAGTAAACTTTTAATAAGCAATTAACATAAGTGATTAACGGGAAGATTTTTTATCATGAGGAAATTTTTAAGTTTGACAATGGATTGTGAGTATATGTAGTTAAGCTAGCTATAAAAATAGACAACATTGTTGATCATGCTTAAAGATCTTTTGTTTGGCTTTTGGAGTAGTTCTAAAGATTTTTCTGAATAGGAAGCGAGTAGTAAAATGATTTATAAGACTTATGCTAATTTATTTTGCTAATACTTTTAAACTATCTACTTCAGTCAGTATTAGCTAATTATTATATACATTTTTACGTATTAAACATGATAATTTGACAGATTTCATTTAAATTTTATCATTTTAACTTGTTTTAATCGTTAGACATATAAACACGTGCGTAATAAAACTATCCTATAAAGAAAAATAATTTAAAAATATGATTTTAATTGAAAAAATGATAAAACAGATGTTTTAAAAATTTGTATAAAAATAGATTATCGAATGGTATTAAAAAATCAGATCAATTGCGGTCATTATTTAAACATTAAAAAAGTGAAATTGGCGGAGAAGAAACCTGCCAGATTTCATCGCGAACATCTTTCCAAGCAGACGAGCCTCACAAATTTTAAAAATAAATGATAGGAATTAAGGTCGGCTACAAACTTGTGGGGACGTTTATGTAAGAGAATCCAATGTGAAGAGCACGGAATTGAAAGACGATGAAAAATGATAAAACCGTCTACCGAAGAAGAAGAAGATGATTAATGCTAGAACGTCTGGACATCTTACAAATCAAAATAAGGTTACGCTCTCGAAAACACATCATCTCTCATTATAGCACTGCTTGGCCATTCACACGTCCGTGATGTTGCTAACAAAGCAAAGAGAGATGAGCTATGCTAAGCGCACGGACAATGTGTTATTAACGTGATTGTATTTGATCGTGCATTTATCATGAGAACGCCTATTGCTTAGGAGAGGCGGGCTGCTACGGAAAAAAATTGTAGATCGACAACCTATAATGAGTAAAAGTAAACATTCTCGGACACCTGCAGAGCGAAGAAACTCTAAACAAAAAGTGCCCCGTGAGCGTGATGGACTCGTGACTTCGTGACGTCTGGCTATTCTAAGTTGAATGAGTCGATTACGGTCCGTCTAATTGTCGACGCGTTCACCTTTCTCTTGCGTAATAACTGTCAACGCCGACGTTAATAATCGCTAAAGTTAATTTCTTTCACTACTATATTATTATTATAACTAGGCCGAACCATTAAATTATTTTTATCGATAATAGTGATAAATTATTTTAAAGCCATGTAAAAATCTTGTAAACAGAGAAGCTGGATAAAATGGAAAGATTTTTGAATTTCTCTTTTCAAAAAAGCATTCTAGGTTTTTGCCATTAGAATAATGTAGACGTAATCTTGATGACAAAAGAGAGAAAATACACTTAAGTAATTCTATTTTCGACAAAAGACATTTATTTCCCAGTTTAACAAACTCTAAAGAAAATTGGCTTGACTAATTCTGTTTTCTCATTTAAACAACTATAATTTCGCCACCGAAAATAAACAGGCCTACTTTAAATTTATCCAACACTTTCTTTATCTTGCTTATAAAGTCAATCACGATATAAGTAAGCCTATAAGCAATGCCCTCTGCCCCTCGGAATGTGCACTTATATGATTCATAAATTATAAATGTGAAACGTGTTTTTATATTAAATTCTATTTAAAATAATTTCAAGTATGCTAAAAACTTCTGTTTAAATGTAGCTTACAAAATTTTTTTTTAGTTTTTTTCAATATGATACCATAGAAAGTTGTCAAAAAATACCCTATAACTTAATTGGCTTTAAAAGATGGCGAGTAAAACGAATAAGTATTTGTTTAATTTGTTATCTTGAACTAAAATGAATTAAAATAATGATTAAGGATATTAAAAACAAATATATTGAATTATCAAAATGTATCTAAAGTTTTTAATGGTAAAGAAAATATTATTACATTCAGGCTAAGGCCTATTCATAACTTAATTTTACAGCAAAACAAGTCTGCTTATCGTCTTAAATATATCAATTTTACTATAATCTGTAGCTTATCTACTTAAAATAGAATTGAAAATCTTTTAAATTTATATTAATAAGGCCATCGGTTTAATATACTTAGTAATCTTTGCGTAGTATTTATATATCTAAAGTCTACTTAGCTTGCATTATGAAATGCACTTATGCTATTGATATTTCTAAATATAATTTTATTGTTTTCATTAATAGTTATATATTATATAAATCAATTTTCTAGACGTATAATCAAAGGAAAACTAGTGTCTATTTATCAATAATTTATCGATTGAACTTTTAGGCCTTATCACGTAAAAAGCTTTGAATAAAAGGCTCCATATTGATTTATAAATGATTAAAATTCAGAATTACTTTTATAAGGTAATCAATGTATCCGTAAAAAGATTCATTGATTACCTTGAAACTATAGATATTTAACGTTAAACTTTATTATAGAGTCAACGTTTTTGTAAAAAAGTATTAACAAAATTAAAATCGTTACTCGTTCAGAACTAATT